CACAGTACTTTACGTTTCCAGTTGCATTGTTGCTGGCAGCATGTTCGAGATGAGACGAAGAGCATTCAAATACAGGAAATCGAGAAATGTATAAATATTACAACAAACTTTGTTCGTTCCAATAAGCCTTTAAGTTTTCAAAGAAATCAATTTCAAAACATGATAAAACAAACGGCTATTTTTCTTAGTAAGAATAAAGAGATAATATTAATTATTAAGAGCGGATAGGGGTAATACTACCGTTATCATTAATAGAACTGAATATCTAGAAAAATCTCAAAAAATATTCTAAGAGATGAAACGACATATAAAAATTAAAAAGATCCAACGATAACAGTTCAAAATAAAACAAAATTATTGACACTTTGGTAAGAGAAGGTTTTATTGACAACGAGCAAGGTAAGAAATTAAGAAACTGTGCAATAATTTCGTAAAAAAAAAAAAAATACATAAAGAAATAATCTGACCTTTCAGACCCATAGTATCGTTTGTGGGATCACCTCTGTACTCTCTGACAGGTTTTTAGCATCTCTTTTAAATGGTATGTTTGTCAAGAACGACAGTTATGTCAGAAATTGTTTTGAATTTGTTAATGATATAAAAGCATTAAATTACCCTAAAAGTTATCAACTCATATCTTTGGACGTTATATCACTTTTTACTAACATTCCTACAGATATAGTAATTAATATAGTTAATAAGAAATGGCATCTTATAGAAAATGAAATAAAGTTCCGCCATAGATTTGTTGAACTGTTAACATTTATTTTTGATAACAACTACTTTCAATACCAAGATGAGTTTTATCAACAGATATATGGACTGGGAATGGGTAATTGTTTATCACCGATTTGTTCTGATTTAGTTATGCAGGATTTACAGGATCAATGTATTAAAAACTTCCTTTTCAATTGCCGTTTTTTAAACGTTATGTTGATGATATTTTTTTTTGTTTTTTATTGTAATTTATTTGATTTTAGACATATTTAATTTATCACCCTAAACTACAATTTGGAGAGAAAGAAATAAACAACAACATAGCATTCCTTGACGTGAGACTAATTAGACACAATCAATTAATAGAGACAGATTTGTATCACAAGCCGACATTCTCTGAGAGATTTCTCAATTATTCTTCCGACATTCTTTGAAACAAAATTAATGTTATTAATAACCTGAAAATCAGTGCTACATCACTATCATCAAATTATTTTCATAATAAAAATTTAAAATATATCGAAAACGTGTTGATTAAAAATAGTTATATAATAATATAAAAAAAAAAAAAAAAATTCTTAACAAGAAAACCGTTGTAAAATCTACTAACCAAAATGATAGAGAAGTTTATTGTAAAATACCTTATATCGACTGTCTGTCAGAACAAATTAAAGCACATTTTAAGGGTCATACTACAAAAAACAGGAAAAGATAAAATTACAACAAAGGTCATAACACCATAAAGAGACGGTTCTTTTCAAAACAAAATCAAAGGAATAAAAAAGAACTGAAATCCGGCATAATATATAACATTCCCTGTACTCAATGTCCTAAAGCTATGTTGGGCAGACCGGTAGATATTTAAAACAAGATTGAATGAACATGAAAATGATCAAAGGGACTTTCTTTTGGAAGTAATCCTACCGCATTAGTAGAACAAAAAATAGAGACAGGCCATAGCTTCGATTTTGACAATACCACTATTTTACAGAGCGATAATTATGAAGAAAGATTATTTACAGGATAGTAGAAATCCAAAGAAACAAAATTGCGTTAATAAAGAACGAGACAGTAGAAACCTGGGTTACAACTATATTTTATTCTTTCCAAAGATTAAATATAATATAATTTTTTTTTTTTTTTTTTTTTAAATGAAAATATTTTATATGTTTCTTTCAACTGTTCTTTATCTTCAGGTAAAAATTATATTAGTATTTTATCAACTAGAATTAGTTGCTCTCTGTATACAGTCAACGTAGGTACATCTGCACTGCTTGTCTGTGAAGGAAAAGATTTTTCGTGATGTTTCTCTATACATAATTGTGTTATATGTTTTGTAAGTGTGTTATGTGTTTTAAAAGGGAAAAAGGGATATATACCACTCCCCTCTATACCATCCGTTTATTAATGGATATGACTAAGAGAGTCCAGATTTAAATGTGAGTAACATATACATATATTTTATTTAATTATTAACATTAAATTTAGTTTGCAATTGTATATGTGTGGAATTCCACTGATATGTGTTTTGGGTTACATTTTGTTAAATTTTTGAAAACTTTATTTGATTGTATTTTCTGCTCTCTTAACTTTGTAGTGTCCTGGGAGTCACAGAATAGATTTTGAAACGTCGACAAATTTGTTGATAAAGGGACTTCTGTTGATTTCTTTCGATCCTAATCCAATTTATAAAAAAAGAACACATTATATATTATTGGATCGACAACAATAAAAAATTATATATGGAGAATGTCATCGATACTCATTTCCAAGCCAACTAGACGCCGTTTTATTCGATCTTATGGTATATTTGTTATATTATTAATTATTATTAACTTCGCGGATCTTTCATTTGAATCTATGTTGCAATGTTGCAAAAAAAAACGTTTTAATCACCATTCAAAAACAATGTTTCTGTAGCAAGGTTTCATCAATCACGACACAACGTTTAGAAATCAACATTACAAAGCAAACTGTTTGGGGATTGACTGCAATGTTGCAAATATAATGTGAAGTTTTTTGCTTGGTGGGGGAAATTCAAATAATTCGTTTTCTGACAGATGGAAATAAAATGTCTGACTGTTTGACACTTAATGTCAAAGGAAGCTAGACAAAATCAGAGAAATATACGTTTTTAAACTAAATCTTAATTAACTTAAAAACGATTTACTTTAGGTATAGGAACATAAACAAAAAATGTTATCGTGGGGACTATAATAAAAAAGAAGAATGAGAAATTATTGGGCAAACCCTCAGTAAGATTAGCCTTGAAACATGGTAGTCGTATTTTAGCCATGTTTCATGGCTAATCTTCCTGTAGGTTTGCCCAATAATTTCATTCTTCTCTTTTATAGGAACATGTATAGTTAAAAAGTAACGAATTGAAAAACCTTTTCACTAGTGAAATACAAAAGGTTGAAAGGTAAAATGATTTATGATAATCGCTCAATTCCATGACAGCTACCGCCATTATTATATAATATTTGAAGAATTTATTTTTTGAAATAGATAGCCATATCTTTATAGCACAGTGGCTGTGGTAATCACTAAATTTGACTTTTAGACTATACACATATTATTGACAGGCAGTTTTTTTCGTCCAAAAATTTTAAATATTGTTTAACATCAATATTCATAGAATTTTACAGAGAATTTAAGTATGTAATAAAAAATGGGGGCACCTGTTTAAAATAAGAAAGTTGCTGTCAACTTCCGGTATTTCCTGAAGTGCCGCCATATTGAAAATATTTTCAATCGATAGATCTCGTTGTAAAACAATGATGTACAAAAAATATACGATCTAGATATTGTAGTTCTCTAGAAACTTCTAGTGCATGCTCAGCCTGGAACACCCTGTAGATAGAGTATAAATTATAGTGTTGGACGTTTTTAGAAGGAGAAGATAATTCAGTTGTTATGGGCGTCGTGAATGCGTTTAGGAATCTGATAAACGAGAGGCTGAAATTTTTGATTCCCATTTTTCCATTTGTCACAAAGGGTTGGCTGCTGCTGAAGGGTGGCGCCCTGGACGTATTTACAATTATTAAAGGAATTGCAGATTTCGTCAGCAAAATGCCTTACAAAAAATTAATACTACTCCCTATAATGTAAGTAAATTTCGCTAAAGTGTATTACACATAATATATAGTCTGCCCAACTACAAAATTGACAGTGATAGATGTGTCTGTCATTTTAATTTCAAAGTAGTTTATTTTATTTTACAAAGAAATAGGTTGGTACAATTGAAATGCAAAGTGGGATATCTTTGAACAAAAAGATTAAAGAACAGAGATAAAAGACTTATAATATTAAATAGATAGGTCAGATTCTGCTTTGTTTCGTAGCTACAGGGTGTTAAAGTGTTAATAATTTTTCGATTTCATATAATTGTCTTCCATGTACTTTCAGTAATTCCAATGAAATTTTAAGGGTAAAAATTACTATGAATGCTGCTTATGGAATATTTAAAAAAAACATGTGCACCACTGCCTTTTTTTCTTTTGATATCAAATTTGTGTAGGCCATTTAAAGCCAATTAAAAGTTATCTCTTAATATTTTGTCGAATTCGGTCTACTTTATGAGATAAACGTAATTTTATTAATCAGAATTAATAAAATTAAAATTAATATATTATACAGGGTGGTGCATTGTCGTTGAAAGCATAGGAAATGCAAATTTTAAACTGGTCAAATATTGGCTCCCCTATTAATTTTACAGTCAGTAAATAGATTTTTTAAAGGTTTATGTATGATAAATACACATACCAAATTTTAACAATTTTAGACCAGCCGATTTTGAGTAATTTAAGAAAGATTTTTGTTGATGATCAACGCCAAGATGTCTTTGTGTGCTTCATAGATTATCAGAAGGCTTTCGACAATGTTAAACACGATATTCTCCTAAACAGACTGCTCGAGATAGGAATAGACGCCAAAGACATTAGAATCATACAGGAACTATATTGGAACCAAACCGCAGAGATAAGAGTTAACAAAAATTTATTTGTGGATAAATTGTCTGTGGACACCTTCAATGTCTATCAAGGAGTCCGCCAGGGCTGTATACTGTCACCAATAAATATAAATATTAATACCAATATATATCAAAATATAAATAAAAATATTTCAAATGGCCCTGGAAGGAGAAAGTGGAGGAATTAAGATTAACGGAGTTCCAATTAACAATATAAGATATGCAGATGATACGGCAATACTAACACGAACTTTAGAGGATCTCCAGCAAATAATAAATAAGATAGGGGACATGGGAAATCGTTTCGGTCTTAAAATCAACGCTGCCGAGACCACACTTATGGTAATAGGACGCCAGCCTACAATCAACAACGATGGGACTGCGATGAGGAAGTTAAACTTAGCACGAATTATGCAAAGTCAACATTTTTTAAACTTAAAAACTTCCTATTAGCACGCAGTCTCCCGCTAACACTTAGACTATGGGTAGTGAAATGCTACATATGGCCCATCTTACTATACGGCGCAGAAACCTGGTCACTCAAGGCTAGAACCAGGTGGATGACACTTCTTATGGGAGAACTGGCAATTGTTGAAAACTTGACTACAAGCGATTTTTTAGGAATCTTCCTTACCGATAAATTATTGACAAGAGTGACGGATAAAACCTTGACGTTCTTTCAGTATTCCAGTTCATCTCTTTTTCTTTCTAAAGTGTGCGTTGAAAGGAGACAAAAACAATTTTTGGTGACCCATAATTTGTTATTCGAACACCACTTTTCTCCTTGTCGGGTCGTTGACGTTGACTTGTCGCCATTTTATTTCTTTTGTTTACAAGCTGCATTTTGCTTTGCAAATTTAATACATAAATTATTTAGGCAAATATATAGGTTTTTAATAAAACTCCTCGGACTAACGTGTAGGTAAGTGTTGATAATTTTTTTTTCATCTTAACATGCTCATTGTCGTTCTCCTGATTTTAGGTGACAGAAAAGGATCATCAAATCAAATTGAATTTTATATTTTCCTTCCTATTTATCCTTCCTAAATATCAACGAGATGAGCCATCGGAAGAAAGGGACCATAGTACAAAACAGAAAGGTGATCTTTTTTCTTTCCACTTCGGATATTGAAATTATTATATACTGTAGTCGTGTTCGGCATTATGCTCTGAGAAATATAGATAAACAAAGAACAACAGATATAAAGCATCCCAGAGGAAAAGAGAGGCAATACCTGTATGTACTCTCTCTGATATTTGTGAAAGTTACAGCAAAGTATTGTTGTAAATGTCATCTTTTTGATCGACCTGAAAACTTCGAGCAAAAAGATGACACTTTCAACAATACCCTGACAGATATCAGAGACGATACAGGTTTTTCCTCTCTTTTCCCCTGGAATACTTTTAATTTATTATTCTTTGTTTATCTAGATTTCTCAGAGCACTATGAACGAACTCAGCTTGTATGTTTGAAATAATCGTCCAGTTGGCTTAAAAATGATGATCGAAGACATTTCCCATATAATTTTACTTTCAAAATTATGATATATCTTTTATTTCTAAGCCATCTATGACGCCATTTTTTTCAGTTTTGTTATAATTAATTTTGTCTCTTGATCTACTTGTAACATTATTCTTTTAATTTTATTAATTTATTGTGGTGAAATTAATTTCTGTTGTATATTTGATATTGATATTAAACATATTTTTAAAAAATGGTGTATTTTTTGTGTTTTTGTGTATGTCATAATTAAAAATAAATGAAGAAATATTTTTTTTTATTTTTTTAAACTTCCCGCCATGCGTGACAATTTAGTCCGTAATTCCTACAAGCGAAATTGGGGGCGCTAGTAGCAGTAGACTTGTCAACAGTGTCAAATTTAAACGTCAATTTCACTTTCCAATATTTAGCAAGGCGCTCGCACTTCTTCTTGTGTATGTGTTTTGTGGCTAGAACCCTGAACCGCATCGAGGCTTTCGAAATGTGGACTCTCCGGAGACTCTTACGTGTGCCATGGACCGCACATGCAACCAACGAAGAAGTTTTAAGAACTGCAGGCTATTAACGAGAAATGCTTAATATAGTTAAAGAAAGGAAAGTCTCATACCTCGGCCATATCCTTAGAGGAGACAAATATTACATTCCTAAGCTGATTCTACAAGGAAAAATAGAGGGACGGCGCGGCGAGGCCCAGGAAGAAAACAACATTCCTGGCTAAGAAACATTCGGGATTGGTGTAACATCAGCGACGCAGCCACCATATTTCGAAGAGCCGAAAACGGCACTCTACACATTGTATGAAGAGTACAGACAATCGCCAACGTGCGGCTAAGCACAAGGCACAGGAAGAAGAAGAAAGATTGCATCTATTTTGATATTAAAACCGAACAGGTAACAATCAAACACCAGTCAAAAACCGACATACTTTAGGTTTACAAACTATGATTTTGACATTGTTAAAAGTAATTTAATTTAAATAAAATTTTAATATTCAGGGGAAATTAACCGAAACATGTCAGATATATTGTCTAAACTATTTCTTGGCGGAGAACCATTTTAACATGCTCACTTTTTCTTTATGTGTATAACAATAAATATGTATTACTGATACTGAATATTAAAAATGACGTTCACAACTTAAGGTATGTCGATTTTTGACTGATGTTTGATTGTTACCTGTTCAGTTACAATTTGAAAATAGATGCAGTTTTTCTCAAATTACTCAAAATCGGTTCGTCCGACTTTATTCAAATTTGGCATGTGTGTTTACCAAAGGTAGACCTTTAAAAAATCTATTCATGACTTCGCTATAAAATTAATAAGAGAGCCAATAGACAGCTTAAAATTTGCATGGGATTTCCTATGTTTCCAACGTCGATGCACCACCCGGTATATTTTAACTAATTTATTATTGAATATTATTACTATTCGTTATTATTACTATTAGTCCAAACTACTTACTAAAACTAAAGCCTGTCATTTTTGACATATGACACAAACATACGTTTTTTTTAAATGAAAACCATAGTTGGCCATGACTTCATAAAAAGCGCCAGTTTTTAAGTTTTCCGGCGATATAAGCTATAATGTTTGTTTTCACAAAATTACTGAGTTATAGCCAATTCTTATCTCTCTTGACTAATTTCATTTAGCCATGGAAACAAGTTCAATCGTCGTTGCTTTAATAAATGTGAAACTGTCACATCCAAACTTTGTAAATTAAAATAAACGAAAATTGTAAATATGAATTTTTTAAATGAAGATAAGCGTGTAGGATTATTGGTTCGACTTTTCTTGGCCATACAGTTTCGAGGATACGTTTACCGATGAACCTTACTTACGTTTTTCACAATAGAGTGGTTCCAATATTCAAATTCAAATTCAAATTTCTTTATTAGACCCCCATTAAGTTTTACAGAATAATATTAGTATTAATAAATGTGATTAAAAACCGATACAATGGCACAAAGTGCAAGAGTGGTGCGACCCCAAATACAAAATAGAAATAAATTAAATTATAGAAATAAACAAAATTAAAATTATATAAAAAAAGTGAAAATATAAATTTATCATGGATGAGCTGAGATAAGCAGAGAGGCATAATGAAACAGTGTAAAAAAAGGGAAGAGCAACCAATGACGGGCATATCAGAAGAACAAGATCTCACAAATCAGTCGAAGAAATTATAATATTTAAGAATTTAGTAAATGATTTTTAATTTGTTTTTTATAATCTGTAAAGGATTGAAATTTAAATTTATTAGAAATATTATTCCACAAATGTGGCGCTATGAAACTGAAAGATTTTTGGAAGTTAGCTGTTCGGTGTTGAGGAATTTTAAAATAATGCACTTGTCTAGTCGAATGATCATGGTCAACGTAGTGAAACAATGAGAACAAATAGGGAGGCTGCTCTGTAGTTAAAATTCGATAATGTATTTTTAAAAAATATGACTTTCATTATGACACACCCACCCAAGAATGAAAGAAATGTTAAAAATTATTTATATCATAATTATGTAGACTCAGGGATAGAAAGAGGTGGATCAATTGCATGGGCCTCTTCGATCACCTGACCTATCCATTTTATATTTTTTTATGCGGTATGGTTAACAACAAGGAACAATGTTTACA